TATCAGGCTACAATCAGCACTTTGCAGAGTAATCAGATTGTCTTGTCTGAACTCAAACTGATTATTAGAATGGACATCTGGACTGAAGCGTGTATGTAGCTGTATGGGTGAGCATTTATTTTTTTAAATATGCAGAATGATGGCACCCTTGTTAGTGGTATAGAGTTTTTATTATTCCTTTGCAATTGTTTTGCACATATAACTAAAAAAATAGATGCCATGTTTTTGTAGTTTTACATTTTCTAAGTACAATAAATCATTGGCCCACAACATTAGAACCAGGAAATGCATTTAAAATGTAGTCCATAATGTGTTCCCAGAAGAAGCAGCAGCACTTTATGCAACATCTGAGAAACTAATTAGAAATTAGTGAGTCTGTATCAGAAACTGGTTGATAAGTTGGAATGTTTGTCTATTCTTTGCTTGTTTGATGGCACAGTGGTGAGTGAAGGTCACATGATATTGCATTATAGTTTCAGCAGCCCTATAGTAAAGGTGACCCCCCCGATATCTGACATTTGAAAATAGTCAGTTTGCAGATTTAAGAAAGGAAAGTGAGTGAGGAGAGGTTTTATTAAAGCTGAAGTTTCAACAGAAACGTTACAGATGCCACACACTCAGACACACACACAGTTAAAGTTCAACACAAACACGACAGAGTTAGTGGTCAGAGGTCATGCTGACAGTGATAGATCGTATTAGACTGAATCGTACATGGAATATATAGCAAAGACAGAAATAATGAATAATAAACAGGTTCAGAATGAATTCAAAGGTGATGCTAGTCTTTTACAAAAATATTGCTAAGATCTATGAGGCACATTCTCACAGCTTTCTAATAAAATAATTTCCTGTTACTGCCTGTTGGCTATACTGTATAAATTATAAATGGCCATAAATAAAAAATATAAAATTATTAATAAACATGAATTTAACATTTCAGAAATGAAAAGCAGAATGTGCTATCTAATAAAAAAGTAAACCAGAGCAGGTACGAGAGAAGATATTAGTTTTGTCATGCATAGAAACCTGAATTATCTCAGCACAACATTCATAGATTGATGTATAGCTAACAATATTTATAGATCAATGTAGATAATATATTGTATATATACACAGTAGATTAATGTGGGGTGGAAAACTATATCACAAACATTTAATTAGTCAAAAACCAAATGAACATACAGTGGGTACGGAAAGTATTCAGACCCCCTTAAATTTTTCACTCTTTGTTATATTGCAGCCATATGCTAAAATCATTTAAGTTCATTTTTTTCCTCATTAATGTACACACAGCACCCCATATTGACAGAAAAACACAGAAT